CAGGGCTCTCAGCCGGACTACGTCCCGCTGCGGCAAGGACAGTACCAACCCTACTACCAAGATGTAACTTACGACGAATACAATGGATTCCAGAGAGTGGCAGGAACCCGTTCTTCGCGTGATAACGAACTTCCTCGCCGACAGCAGCGGCCCAGGATTCGTTCCATTGAATATAGTATAAACCGTGACCCTCCCGTGTGTTACAACTGTGGTTTCACTGGGCATATTGCTCGGTATTGCCGCCAACAACGCCGCCAATCACGAAGGACACCAGATGTCTGGTGTCCTTCGTGAAGACTACCGTGGCGAAGACAGGAACACACTTAGTGTGATTGATGAAGTGATAGCACCATCTTGGTGCCTGACACCCGTTCGAGTCTCTCCCACAGCGGTTGATGATGATTGTTTTGACCTCGTAGTGGGGCCTCTACGCAAGAACTGTTTTAAGAACGACATACTTGTGCCTTGTTCTGTTGTGTGCATGACAAAAGAAGTAGCAACATTGTGGGCGCTGAACTGTTCTGCCACGCCGGTTGTGCTTCCTCGCGGGATGAAGATAGCTCTCTTTGATGAAGCCTCATGCAAATCGATAGCAGCAATAGCTACGGACCTCCCCACCTTTTCCTCTGCTTGTGATATTCGCCATAATGAAGATCTAATGCTCGCTATGATCAGCAAGACTCTCAGTACGACGGAACAGCAAGCGCTGGTGCAGGTTTTTTTCCTGGCATGTTGCTGCTTTCGACTTCAAACATAGAGATGCACCCCTTCAGTTACCCTCGTCCCGCGCTCGTCACATAATAGACACTGGCTCTGCACACCCCATCCGCCAAAGGCCCTACCGAGTGTCATCCTCTGAGCGCAAAGTTATCGCCGAACAAGTAATGGACATGCTGAACAAAGGGGTCGTTCAAGAGTCGTCCAGCCCGTGGGCAGCCCCGGTAATTCTTGTCAGGAAAACAGATGGTTCCTGGAGATTCTGCGTAGATTACAGGCGTCTAAACACTGTGACGAAGAAAGATGTATATCCCTTACCGCGGATTGATGGCGTCATAGATTGCTTGCATGCCGCTTCCTATTTTTCAACGCTTGATTTGCGGTGAGGTTATTGGCAAATACCTATGGAACCCGGCGACAAAGAAAAGACTGCTTTCATAACTCCGGATGGCTTATTTGAATTTAATGTCATGCCTTTTGGCCTTTGTAATGCTCCAGCCAGATTTGAAAGATTTATGGACACAGTATTACGTGGTCTAAAATGGGAGATATGCATGTGCTACCTTGACGATGTTGTGATCTTTGGCCGTACGTTTGAGGAATATAACAACCGTCTCACTCTTGTTCTCGACTGCATCGAAAAAGCTGGGCTGGTTGTGAATTCTAAAAAATGTCGCTTTGGCGAACGTCAAACTCTCGTGCTGGGGCACTTGGTCGACAAGGATGGCGTCAGACCCGATCCTCGCAAGATAGAAGCAGTGAGCTCTTTTAAATCACCGCAGTCCGCATGAGAACTTCGCTCATTTGTCGGCCTATGCTCATATTTTCGTCGTTTTGTTCCACGATTTGCGGAGATCGTGTATCCGCTGACAAACGTCTTGCGACAGGATGCAACCTTCAACTGGACACCAGAGTGTAAAGCCACATTCTCACAACTTAAGTTTGTACTAACGTCAGCACCACTGTTGCGTCACTTTGATCCATCTTGCCCGACTGAGGTCCACATGGACGCTAGTGGTATCGGTGTAGGCGCGGTGCTTGTACAACGTCACGATGGCGCAGAGCATGTCGTGGCATATGCCAGCCGTTGCCTGAGCAAATCAGAACGCAATTACACAGTTACGGAACAGGAATGTCTGGCAGCTGTTTTCGCTGTACAGAAGTTTCGTTGTTATCTTTACGGGAGGCTATTTAAGATAATTACCGATCCCCATTCGTTATGCTGGCTGGTCAGTTTGCGTGATCCCTCTGGCCGCCTCGCACGTTGGGCGCTGCGACTTCAGGAATACGACTTTACGGTGTCGTACAAGGGTGGCCGTCGTCACGCTGACGCAGACTGCCTCTCCCGGATTCCTCTTGCGACTACTGACTGCGATGCTGAGAATTTTGACGACTGCCTTGCTGCTGTTACAAGCACGTTCCCCAACGCGGCTGATTTCCAGAGAGAACAACGCAACGATCTCAACTTGGATCCTCTTTTTGCCGCCGCACGTGCCTCCGAACACAGCGGTCGCTTTACTGTTAGAGACAAGTTGCTCTATAAAACTAACTACTCCAGACCTGGAGCACGTTTTCTTCTAGTTGTCCCCGAGAGCCTTCGCTCCGATGTTCTACGTGCCATGCATGACGATGCGACGTCCGGTCACTTCGACTTCATACGAATGCTGAACCGCACGCAGGAACGCTTTTACTGGCCCGAGATGTACGAAAAGACGAAGCGTTACGTCGCTAGCTGCGAGACGTGCCAACGTCACAAGCGCCCAGCCACCGCTACACCCCTTCATCCGTTAACACCACCCAGCACACCTTTTGAACAAATAGGAATATACATTATGGGTCCATTTCTGTTATCTAACAATAAGAAGCGTTGGATAATCGTCTGCGTAGATCATCTCACGCGGTATGCCGAAACCGCAGCTATTCCCTCTTCTACCGCTGCATCCATGGCGGACTTCTTGCTTCACTCCGTGGTCCTTCGCCATGGCCCACCACGTGTTATTATCAGCGACCGTGGCCGCCAGTTCACTGCTGATGCCATTGAAGAATTACTACGCATGTGCACGACACAGCTCCGTCATTCCACACCGTATCACCCGCAGACGAATGGCCTCGTTGAACGGACAAACAGAACGCTGACCAACATGCTTGCCATGTACGTTTATTCCAATCACAAAAACTGGGATGAAGTGCTGCCTTTTATCACGTACGCGTACAACACGGCAAAACATGAAACAACGAACTTCAACCCATTTTATCTGTTGTACGCCAGGTTGCCACTAAGCCCTCTAGACACTTTCTTACCCTTCATTCTACACAATGACGACTCTATCAAACACCCTGTGCCTCGCGGAACAAGCTCGTCGAATCGCTCGTCTTCGTACTCAGGCCTCTTAACGTCGTTCGAAGGAACGATACGACGACCGTCACGAACCGGTTTTATTCGAAAAAGGTGACTTGGTGTTACTTTGGACACCGCAACGCAAGCATGGATTGTGTCAATTTATTGATTGATTGATTGATTGATTGATTTGTGGAGTTTAACGTCCCAAAACCACGATATGATTATGAGAGACGCCGTAGTGGAGGGCTCCGGAAATTTTGACCACCTGGGGTTCTTTAACGTGCATTCAAATCTGAGCACACGGGCCTACATCATTTCCGCCTCCATCGGAAATGCAGCCGCCGCAGCCGGGATTCATACCCGCGTCCTGCGGGTCAGCAGACGAGTACCTTAGCCACTAGACCACCGCGGCGGGACAATGGATTGTGTCAAAAGCCTCTGTCACGATATTCAGGCCCATTTGAGTTTTGGAGCGTCTAAGCCAGCTCACTTACGTAATAGCTCGTCTTTTGTTCAATGGTCGACGATCGAGCAGAACGCAGCTCACTCACGTTGCTCACCTGAAACCTTTCTACCCTGCTTGTGCATCATAACTCGCCCTACGGGCTTCGTCGGCTTGCGGGGGAATGTAACAGACTAGAAAAACGTAGAGAAAAGAAGCAGAGGAAGACGAAGAGTCTTGGGACGATCGCAATGTGGAGCCGCAAACGACCATCGTTCACCTCCTGTAAATAAAACCATCTTATCACAGCTCGCTGTTACAATATGAATCATACTGCTTTTATTTGAATCCTTTCTAGGTTTTGAACGTTAATTTTTGTGTGGGGATCCCAAACTATGGAGGCGTACTCAAGTTTAGGCCTAATTAAGGAAAAGTAGGAGAGGAGTTTAACACTAGGCGGAGCAGTCTTGAGCTTGTGGCGGAGAAGGCATAATTTACGTAAAGCGGCAGAGCAGATGTTATTTATGTGCGAATTCCAGGATAAGGTACTTGTTAACGTTAAGCCTAAGTATTTATAGGAGGCTACTTTAAGGTAAAGGTGCTTCAGCTAAATTGTATGTGTAGTCTAATGGGACTTTTTTGCGCGTTATGGGGAGATACACACATTTGTTTGCATTAAGAAGCATTCCCCATTGTTCACACCATTTTGATACATTGCCTAAGTTAGTAATAAGATCACATTGGTCACTAATGCAGGTTACATCTCTAAACAAAACACAGTCGTCAGCAAATAAACGAATTTGTACCGGGCTGCTAATTACATTGACAATGTTATTAATGTAGACCAGAAACAGAAGGGGGCCTAGTACGCTCCCCTGCGGAACGCCAGAAGTCACAGGAAGGCAGCCCGATTGTTTTTCTCCTACCTGAACATATTGGTTGCGATTGAGTAGATAAGCTGAGATCCAGGAGATAAATAATTCTGGTATACCAACTAACCGAAGCTTTATAATTAGTTTATCGTGTGGAACTGTGTCGAATGCTTTACTGTAGTCTAAGAATATTACATCAATTTGGTCGTTAGCATCAAGACAAGCTGCAAAGGTATGAACGATAGTAACCAATTGTGTTGTAGTAGAAAATCCTTTTCGAAACCCATGTTGATGATCTGTTAAAACTGAGCGTTCTTTTAAGAATTAATTTAATTTATGCGCTATTATGTGTTCGATATGCTTACAGCATGATGGTGTTAAGGAGATCGGTCGATAATTTTGTAGTACCAGGCGGTCACCTTTCTTGAATATAGGAACTATTCGTGCCGACTTCCAGTCATCCGGCAATTCCGCTGACAACAGAGAAACTCGAAGGATGACGAGTAAGTATTTTGCAACAGACTCTGCAAAGCGACGCAGAAATATGTTGGGGATATCGTCGGGACCGCAAGAAGTCTTAGTCTTTGAGTTCACCAACATAGCAACGACACCAGAATAAGAAATAAAGTTTACATTTGCATCACCCGCATCCTATGGCAACTACTACTGAAGGAAGTTTAGACTTCCTTTGAACACATAAAATGGCATTTGCATACAGCCCGTATTTCAATTCAAAAGAAATATTGTGCAGGTTAAATGTTCCCCCTTTTTTATGTGTCATACATACCATTAGAATTCGATTCAAAATTATTCGACCAAAATCACTATTTGCTTTGAATTCGCTTCGAACCTAAAATTCACTATTCGCACAAGCCTAATCAACGTGCAAACTTGGACCTCAAACAGCAAGTCATTCGCACCTTAAACGGGGCAAGTGTTTTACGAAACGAAACAATTATTCACAGTAATGACATTCTCGAGAAGGTCACTTAAAAAAAAAACATGTCCCAAACATGTCCCTTCCTGGTATGGTCCGTTGAACGCGGCCGATCTGGTAGACCGTATGTGGAGTGCAGAACCACGGATTCGCCGGAGGCCTGTCAAATGTTGTTGTCGAGCACTTTGCGGATTTGTTTGATCCTATTGTCAGGCCCGTTGCACTGCTGAGGCGCAAGACCTCGCGTAACGTTGAAAACACTCCAGCCAATCACGTACGCCGCGGTTAGACTCCAGCCCAGGCGGCGGTAGACGGCGACCATCTGCGTGGAGCGGGCGCACCAGTTCTGATAATTGGCTTGCTTAAGCGACCCAACGCCGAAGATCAAAAATATCGAAAGCTGGGCGGGTTCGCATTAAACCAGCTAAAATATTTAAGGGCTTTTATCGTGTCTGTATATCATACCCTTACATCCTTATATTAAGGCACTTTCACGAATCAAAACCCTCATGCCATGCGGGTTTACCAATCGTTATAACACCCTCATCACTGAACTACTAAGAATAAAACAACCAGTCGGAGGACATTCCATTAAGATGTCATAAGCATAGGTGAGGGCGCGAATCTATACATACACACAACGTAGCATATTGTAAAACGCCCCTTTGATGGAGCACTCGCGCTACACGGCCTCAAGCCGACCATCTAGTACATATAACCCTGGTATCTTGAGCCATCGTTCAGTACCCGTGAGGAGGAGGAGGATACAACTTCATTAAATAAGATTTCCTGGGTTTCGAGCTGGCCGCTTGTGTGCGGCGACCTCTTGTGCCCATGCAATGACTGCTTTCTGCACTTTTTTGTCGGGGGACCGTATTAAGGTCTCCCATGTCGTTTCCGAGGGAGCTGGCAGAAGCTCTCTGTGTGGGGGAAGGCCCTCGCATTCCCAGAAGATGTGACTTTGGTTTGCTATGGCATTCTTGTCGCAATTTTTGCATGTTGAATCAACCTTTCCACCTGTCAATATCGCTGAGGATATATCTACTGCGTATAATTCAACAATAGACATTGACAGAATGGGCGTCAATTAATGATGTGCTTCTGTGCTTCGGCAGACCCCACGTGCCATGGGAATCGATGTCATGCGAAGCGTGCGAACGAAAGGTGACTTTGGCGTAATTTTATTATTGGTTTTAATATTAAGAAATTATGCTAAATATATTCACAAATGTTGTGCGCCAAAACATATGTCTAACCGACGCTTGCGGTTCATATAACCAGTTATTTAGAGTTGTGTAACGACGCCAACGGCAACATGGGTATTACCAACACAAGAAGGGTTAAGCTGATATCTAGCGCTTGTAATAATAATATACAATAATGAAGTTTTAATGTACCAAATCCAGGACATGATAATGAAGGACGCATATATAGCACCAACGCTTGCGAGGATGGTAGTCATGGATATATTGCTACGTGGACAAACTTCAGTAGATGGCGCTTAAGTATACAATTGGCATTAAGCCGACGTGATACATGTGCCATAGAAATACATACTTAATGCTTATAAAATTCGATAGCCAGCACTGCAACCACAATTGACATTTCCCAAACACTGCGTCTCGATAGGGCAGTCTTTGCAAAGCAGCTTCGAGACCTGACATGATCATGTGGTAGAACACTTGATTGCCTCGAAGAATGCTTGGGTATGATTCATGCTGAGCATTCGCAGGGTTTGGGGACATCTGTACGTTGTGCCATTTCTCGGCGGCAGCAACGGTGTGCTTCCACAACGGAATGGAAAATAGGCTAGAACGTTCATATCAATGTTCGAAATAAGCTAGTTATCAAAAACGACTCCGGAATATATACAGCAGAGACCTACTGGAACAATTTCGTGAAATTTCAGTATCGCGCTGCAGAGCGAGCGGGTTCCAAAGACAATTGAACACCACCCAAAGAAATTACAATTAAACACTCTGGGAAGCCATGCGGTTTGTGGTGCCACAATGCAATTCTAACAGAATGTTCAATTAGCCCTCTGCCGGGTAGAACCTGGAATCGTTCTTGATAACCAGCCTTTTTCGTCACACATGAGTTTTTGAGATACAAAGCATCTTATGAGCGAGCTTCATCCGGTGACGTCTGCGCTGCCACTGCGCATGCCCGAACTCTCTCTCCCCCTCTCCTTCTTTACGCAGGTGTTCGGTTGCCTTCTCTCCTCCGCCTGCGCTGCAGCCTGTAAACCGACTCCCTCCTCTCTCTACCCCATTTCTTGTAACCGCGTGCGCTCAGTCGGCTTCTGTCATTCTCGCATCACTCCCGTTCAGACGAGTTCTAACGAGAGCGTCGGCGCCAGTTGAAGCAGCACTCAAAGCTCTGCCGAAATCGAGATCGTCGTGCAGTACCAGCAGCACGGGGTTCGCAATGCGGAGCTCAAACGCCTACACAGGCAAGGTTATCCTGAACTCCGGCTCAGGGAAGCGCAAGCAAGTGTCAGCATCGAGCTACCGCTTCCGCTACAGAGAGACAACGCGAGTCTGCGGCGAGGGCCACGAAGCTTTCGAGGCAACTGTAGGGACCGGAATCCGATGGATCGACCACACGATTCAAAGGAGACTACATCGACAACGTACAGACACAACGTAATGGTAAAAGAACCGCTAAAAACAAACCGCACACATTAACGGAAACTCTGAGTGAACGTAAATGGAAACTTGGCGTGCACCCCAAAGGATGCTTCGCATCCCCTCATGGTTCTCTCTAGAAGGAGATGGTGTAATTTTTTATGCCTATTTCCCATTCAGTTACGGCTCAACGTCACTGTTGCTGACGACAGATGGCGCTAAGTGCAAATTTTCCCAGATTCTGGTCCTGGCCCTGATATATAACCATATGATAAGATTCTTTGCATTGGTCGGGTCAACGCTGCCGATGCCCCGCCTTTTTTCTTGATGTTCTCGCATTTAAGTTACCAAACCCTCTTCTCGCCGTTCCTGGGTAGGCAGACTAGCAATCACTTGTGGCGAATATCCGCATTCCACCACCCATGATGCAGGGGGAAGCCAGAAGGTGGCACTCCAAATCTATGCCCCCCCCCCCCCCCTACCTACATTTTTTTCGCCATGCTTTATATAGCACGAATTGACTATTTTACTGCCCGGCCCCCGATTTCTGAATCAAGGTTGTGCCTCCTGCCCCTTCCCCCAGAAAAATAGTTCTGCATACAACCCTGTTGTGGTGCACACGTTGCTAGAAGAAAGGATGTACGCGACCGAATTTTCAAGTTTTCATGTTATAACTAGCCAGACATATTCGTCCAACTTTCTTACGCTCCTATGCCACTACCCCAAGCAAAGCAGGTGACCCTGAGAACACCCAGACATGGGCGGCTATATAGATGGATAGATAGACAGATAAATACGTAAATAGAAACGGTAATGTGCCTTTCGTTTGATAATAAATGCTTCATTTTCGGTAAGACAAAGTGGTCAAAATTTTCAAATTTCTGCACCACGGAACCACCAATAATTATATCGTGGTTTTGGGACGTAAAATCCTAACACCCATATTACTATTATTACCTTGTTTCGCAATGTGCCGGGCGTTTCGAAGGACACCACGCTGCGTGTGCCATGCTTTGGGGCGAACATGCAGCCTCCACCACCGAAGTATACTGCGGACTTGACCTTGGGGTCATGCTGGAAGAAGTCTTCGCATTCCTGAAAGACCGGAAAAGAAAACGCATGGATTATGAGATAGACAGACGTTATTTACCAACGCCTGTACGTCATTGAGGGGTTTGACAAAACGCATTATTTATTACGCTAAAAAAGATATGAACCATATCTGAAAGATATGAATAATTAAGCTAGTATCGTCCTCTTCCCGCTAACGTACGTCGGGACTGGAGAAAGAACTGTGCTCTTCCCTCTATATTTTAACATGACAGTGTTTTATGCCGGGGTTCACCATAGCTCCGCTGACGCACTTCCGTTACGAATATGACGTTGTAAAATAAATCCTAAAAGATTGCAAATAAAAGAAAACGAGAAGAAAACATTTCTGTTATGTAGCGTCGAACCAGCGACCTTTCAATTCGCAGCGCGTGCGCAAAGCACTAGGCCACAGAGGCTTTTTCTTTTCCTTTATTGCATTACAGCGTACGTAAGTCAAGCATGTTAACGTTAAGACATTCATATACACTACGCACTGTTGACGGTCCTCAAAGCTCAGAAACTTCAGTTTCAATTTTCGTCATCCGTAGCGAGATGGCGCGAGAAGCGCGCGTTGGGCGCACTCTCTCAAAAGGTCGTCGTCCCGCGTTGCCTCCACATAACGTGGTGAAAGTGTGTGTAAATGCTATTTCTCCTGGTGGCTCACTCACTTGCATGCTTATCTTGTGAATCGAGCGCTTTTTTACCTCTTGTGCTTGCACTGAAAGTTTGCTTCGAAGTTACAGTAGTTAAAGAGAGCACGAACGTCATCACTTCGCTCGCTGCCACGGCCGCGATTACGGAAGGAGCGCGCTGCTCAACAGTTGTCCGCACTCGTCTTGTGTATACCTGTACGTTCGTTTCGTGCGTCTTTCTTCCTTTCTGAGCAGCGTGCTTTATGTGTCCACTGTGTCAGCTGGTTGTCCGCGCTGGTTCTGTGTATGCTCATTTAGTGCGTGCTTTCTACTTGAGGTGCGTGCGGCAAGTTTCAAGTTGCTTGCCGTTATTTGTTGCTGTAGCATTCATTCCTTCGCGTTTGTTGCAAAACAATGAACAATAAACGCTCACCTACCTTTGTGAAGCCATATACCGATTTCTAAAAAGAGGGATCAGCCACGTTTTTTTTTCTGCTTCTCTTTTTCATACTTGCGCAGTTCGTCGCCCGTTCGGAGTGAACCAACTAGACGGAAAGAAGGCCTCTTACTGAATGTAAAACAAACTTTAAGTTGCAAGCATATCAGTTATGAAATTATTTTGGTAATTCGTTGCGAATAACCTCTTTTTTTTCTTATCTCCTGGACTTCATAGCTGAGTTCACAGATGTTCAACACCATTGGTGTTTGGGGGAAGGTGGGCGTTCATTAACACTCCTCCCCCTCTTCGAAAAACTTTCAAGTTTGAACACGTATATGCGCACTTACACAAACACACGCTAAGCTGCTCATTCAGTTGTCGCGGGTTCGATTCCAGGTGCGGCAGTGGTACTTCGATGTAGGTGGCGGACTATGGTCCCGTGCGCGTAGCTTTCAAGACAAGTTAAAAAAAAAATCTCAGGTAGCCGAACTTTCCGGAGACCACCACTAATGCATGCCTCGTAATTCCACGGCAGTTTCGGCACATTAACCCTAGATGTGATTATCACTGTAGGAAAGACTTCTGGCTGCCAAAAAGTGCACAGTCTTGGGAGCGCATTGTGGTATATTTCTTTGCTCAGCTATAATCACTTACAAGCTTAAATTTTCTCCTTGTGTAGCGATTAGCGTAGTTACAAACCCTGCGCTAAAAACCGCTACACTACTATGGAAGCTGAGAAAGCCCGTAGCAAGAGCACTCAACGATTCCCAACCGTAGAGTTGAGATAGGCGTCACTACAGCCAGCTCCACCAAGTTGTTTGCCCCTTCAGATGTGGCGCTGGAGAAGCGCCGGTGAGGTAGCCCTCGGTGACGTAGTGGCGCCCTCTTTCCCGCGGCGCGGGTATCATGCGCATGTTCCCGAAGCATTTCAGTCATTTCAAGTGAATTATTCAGAGTACTTCTGCATTTGGTTCATTATGTTATTTTTGAACTTGGCAGCTTATTTTTATTCCGGTTGCCAGCACTGCTAGCGTTGTTTAATGCTTGTATTAAGAACTTGATTTTGAGCGTGAACGCACTACACAAGATCCTCTGGCACAGACGACAAGCCATGCCCCGTAAGTGCCACGAACTGAATTTCGTAGATTTACTTACCCTTTCGTAAAAGCCGGCAGAGTGACGGCTTGAGAGCATCACATCAACGTCACCGTGGCCTAAATCAGCTATGCCTACGCTGTCGAACGTGTCGAAGCGCAGACTGACTGCCACAGTGAACTTCACCCTACTTGGCATCGAGACGCTGGCTATGAGATCAACGGCATCGATCTGGAACGAGCAAAAATAAAACTGAGCAGCACTACTCATATAGGCAAAATGAGGAAACATGCCCAACACAATCAATCAATCAATCAATCAATCAATCAATCAATCAATCAATCAATCAATCAATCAATCAATCAGTCAATCAAATCGATTGATCAGTCAATCAAATTGATTGATCAGTCAATCAATCAAATCGATCAGTCAATCAATCAAATCGATCAATCAATCAAATCGATTGATCCATCTATCCATCCATTCATCCGTACGTACGTACGTACGTACGTACGTACGTCCGTCCGTCCGTCCGTCTGTCTGTCTGTCTGTCTGTCTGTCTGTCTGTCTGTCTGTCTGTCTGTCTGTCTGTCTGTCTGTCTGTCTGTCTGTCTGTCTGTCTGTCTGTCTGTCTGTGTGACTTCCATAAAACGGCGTGTTCATGCTGGATGAAGACGATGGTGGTGCGACATTGTTCATTCGACGGCATGACATGGAATACTCTTGCACGATACGTAATGCGTTAGGTCTGGTGCGAGACGTCAATGCGCACATCTTGAACAATTGAAACAAAATACAGTGAGCTGTTGTATTTACTCATTCATTGGCTAACTTTCGCCGTGCTACTGTCCACGCATGTAATGCCGTGGCGGCGGTGATTAGCTCCGGCAGCGCGTTGGGTTGGTCGTTGTACTGCTGCAACTGATCACGGTTGCCATGATAAAACATCACGTATATAGGTGCAATTCCGGGTAAAAAGATTGCTTGTATCACTGAAATTCTTTGAGGGAACGTATCTTAGGTTGGATAGCGCTTACAACTAACTGCGAGATATAAACAGAACAGGCCAAGGGCTCAGCCTGAATCCCAAATTATTCCGGATATTTACAGAAGCACAACTTCAAAAGGCAGAGCGACAACGCAGCATCGGAATCGCACGTTAATATTTTTTTATAGTGGTGACTGTTATACAGTATAGCAAAGTGTTCATTGTTTAGGATGACTGCCGGTTGGCCATGTTGGTGTAAGCTTATGATGAAACAAGCACCAATATGTACGAAGACCTTCAAAGAAACAGGTCACTTTGGGGGGATAGGGGATGTGACACGTGTTTTTCCGGTTGTATGCCATCGGTTATGGTAGTGGTCTTTCGTTCGTTATAATAGGAGTGGTTTGTGGTGACGTGTGTGCGCGTTGTGCACATGTGAGATTCTTTCCTAAATAAAAATTTTCACTTGCTAGTGAGAGCTTGATCCTGTGTTTTTTTTCAAGTCTGCATACATATTGGCACTTGTTTCATCATGAGTTCATCGCACTGGGACTATGCATATAGTGAACACAACCATGAATCCTGTCTGATCGAGAGCAGGCACTGTAAAAAGTAAGGAAGGTAACATCGACAATGATAAGAACACTTTAAAAACGAACCAGAATTTTCATACTCCCACGGGAGCCTTCATAACAATGAAGTAAAAGAAGTTACGCCAAGCTATACCTTGACACAGGCGCCGCATGTATTACGCGTACACATCAGGAATGTTGCCGTCGTTGTGGTTGAGAGTGCACTCTCTCGTTTGTATTAATAATTCTGGCAAAGACGCAAACAATCTTATTGTGACATCAATTATATGGACAGTCTCGACGCATTATACCATCGCTGTCACGCCCGTTCAAAGTTTTGAATGAGAAGATTCCCCGGCGCACCATACGTTCTACCCGCGGGTAATAGGGCGCCTGTGGGTGCAACGAACACGGCTGAAGCAGACATCAAACAAGCCAGCCCATCTACGTCATTCGGAGGACTCGTATGATAAGATGCCCCTCCTGTTAAACCGGACATCGAATGCTCATGGAGAGAGGAAACACCCCGCCTGTCTTTAAGGAACATTGAAAGACGCGCGCGCGCGCGCGCGCGTGTGTGTGTGTGTGGGGGGGGGAGGGGGCTGCTCGATCAGCAACTGCGAATTTCGACTCTGGTGGTGAGGTCACCCTTGCTGGCGCACGCACTATCTCGCCATCTCGGCATGCATGAACGAGCGGCTCATATGTAAATGTAGGTGCTGCTCTCTCAACGTGAAGATACTTGCGAAAAGTGTCCCTGGAGCGGCCGTTGTTTTTTTCTTACATCAGCGTTTTGTAGAGTTGCACGATATCGAATCCAAAAGAGCTAGCTGCCAGCTTTACATCGTCTAGCATTAAAATTTGTTGCTATGGCACTCGTTTCTTCATCCTTGCGGTGAAGCTAACTTTTTTCCCCGCTTGAAAAGGTGCTGGCATTGCCAAACGGCGCAACCTCAACAGCAACGACGGAAATTTTCCTCACGTGTATGCGCAATGCTTGTGGCACCTGTTGAAACGTACATAGCTAGGCAACTTTCCGACCATGGACGCACCATTCTGACTTCACTCTCAAGCGGCTTGCAGGACTTGTCCCATCCTGATGACGGCAACACATTCTTTGTGGATTCGTCGGTCACCGTAAGCAAGAAAACCAAGCTGATATATTCGATGCTGCGGAATAGAAAGCACTTTGTTAGAAAGAAGAAGCGCTTTGTATGCCATGGCATCAGCATATTGTATTGCATGCAGTAACACCAAAGCTAATACGCATGTATGACAGGCAACTGAAATTTGAAGGCCTCTTCATTCCATGCCCACATGGTGAAGGCAAAACCACAAGAGACAAATGTGTGTGATTATAGATAATAGATGAGGTGAGCGCGCAAGAAACCAGGCATGGAACGCACACCCCATATTGCTTCATTTTACTAGCTTGCACGATCGAATAGTTCTTTCTGAATTACAAAGCTGCTTAGTGACACGCGAGAGGAGTGACACTATACTTGCTTAAACCACCCCGTATAGTACCGCTGTGAGCTGTCCAGAAAGCCCGCTGAAAATAAAAACGTATATTATTGCGTTTGTAAGGAGCGAAGAGCAAAAAGCATGGTTCAACGATTTGCGGCAGCGTCTACAAATGCCTTTTGCTTTTGCTCGCTTTGACGAGGATGCACCAACATCCATTCATGCAGACGCCAGTCATATGGGCCTAGTGGCTGTTCTCGTCCAGTGCCAAGATGGTGCGGAGAGGGTGGCTGCCTACGCTAGCAGAACCTTGAAATATGCCGAGTCCGTACTCGACAACGGAGGAGTGTCTGGCTATCGTTTGGGCAGTTTGAAAGTTTCGCCGGTATTTACCCGGCCGCTCTTTACAGTCGTAAGCGACCACCACTCCCTTTGTTGGTTCAGCAAGATATTGTAACGGGAAGTATTTAATAAGTGAACGCCGGGTGGGCTAACACTGCACACAGTATGCAAAGATGCACGACAAGAGGGCCGTTCAGACACGGCCCCACAACAACATCATCGTCTTCATTCCATCTGCGTCGTTTTTGCACCTGTGCCTGAGGTACCTTTCTATACCCGTGACATTACCCCGGGCGGCAAAGCACCGTCCCGGTGCCTGCTGTTATTAGACGGACGGGTCACTGTGATAGGGCTTCAGGCGAGACACATGCACAATGTCACTTCTGGATGTAGCAGTGGGGTTCGTAGTAGGAGAAAATTCATAGGGGACAGGTGTGACTTGGCGCAGAACTCGGTAAGGCCCAACGTATTGCGATAAAAGTTTCTCGCACAGGCCGACACGACGGGATGGCAGCCACAGTAGCACGAGAGAGCCCGGAGAAAAATCGACAATATGAAAGACCCATCTGGACATTTGGCACGATGGAGCTTACGGCTTCAACAGTACGACACGACTGCAGTATACAAGTCGGGAAGGCAACAAATGGACCAACTGTTCGTCAAGGTCACCGATTAAGTCACCAACTGCAAAGCGTTTGTAACGTCTGAGTCTGCCAGCTTTCGCTTGTACGCATTATTGATATCTCGTGAATGGCCTTTGAGATCTACAAAGTCTTCTTCGTTCTCAATCATGGGAATGCTTTCCACCTTCGAACACTGCAGTTATTGTAGACTTTGTCAATAGCTTGATGGGTGCAGCACGCTGATGAGATCTCTAACGGCGCGGAAGAGGCCTTCTCTATAGTTAAAGTTCCAGCTTGTGTGCTGCCATTTTCCCCTTTATTTGTCCTGTGGTACACTCATCTAAGTTCTGTGGGACAAGATGGCTGTTGGAGACGTAATTGTTAGATAGCGGTGACATTGTCGGAGAGAGTACTTTCTTCTGGGCCTCCGTTCTCATACGTTGTTATTAAGTCTAGGTGCGTCCTGCCGAGCCTTTAATGTATCTGCAATATTATATTCTGCTGTGACCCTTGCTAGAATAATCTGGTGCACGTAAACGTCAGCTTCCTCCATCTCTGCTTCCAAGTGATCGATGTCAACTGTGTTTTCAATCTACTCATCAATTCATCTGAGAAGCTCGTACTGCTCGGTCAAAATTCGGTAAAACTTCTTCAACTGACATATTGATGGGTGTGGTCTATATGCCAAAGGTGTTCGATATTTGCGATGACCTGCGTGACGGCCTTTGCGTGCTTGACTCCGCCTTTCGTAGAGGGCCTCCATACTCCGGTCCAATGTCGGAAACGGGAGAGATCACTGGCCTGGCCGTGCAATAAGGCGAAGTCGGAGTCAACACGGCATCCATTGCAGAAGGTTCACACAACGAATATGCGTCACTTGTCAGGCTGTCGTTTCATCATGATCTTGTGCATATCGGGCCATTGTCGTGAAGGGCGAGTCACAACTGAGCTAAAGAAGACGTGAGGGCTCCCGTTTCGCGAGCCTCCAGACGATGCCTGCACTCACGGGGCTGCACTGTCAAGATGCACGTCATTGATCTATGGACTGCCTTAATTACTTGTGAATATCGGGCCGTCGTCGTGAAGGGCGAGTCTGGGCGGAGCTGAAGTAAACGTGAGGGCTCCCATCTCGCGAACCTTTAGACAATGCCTGTACTCACGTAAACCCATGAGTGCTTCTAGTGGCCTTAGTTGCAACCCGAGTCGTGCTCCGATGTCCCAGCAGTGGTTAGGCCTCGCACATCAACTTTACCCACGGCGGCTTCACAAAAGTCTTCAAGGCTACGACTGCGGTCGAAATTTGTGAAGCCCGCTCCGTCTCACCTCCGAAGGTTCTTTTCCCGGGTTTCACGGCACCAAAATGTTGAGGAAAGAAACGAGTCGCCGTGCTCATGGCGAAACCCACCCCTCCACCTCTTCATTAGTCCGAATGCACTGCTCTCATCCTAGTGGCGCTCTTTGTCGTTCACACAATATTTAACACAGTGCATAGGAAGACGGCAACGTAAATAGAAATAGGTCTTCCAATAAGCTACTAAGCTGACGTTCATTTCGGAAAAAGCTTTTCTTCGAAGTTCGTATAACACACGCAGAGATAACAAACCAAAAAAACAACAAATAAAAACCAAACAAGCTAATCTAAGCAAATCACCTCTGTGCTAGAACCAAACATTCTTTCCTGGTGAGATAAACTGAAGCTGCACTAACACATTTGTGTGGACCGAGTTTCCAGATATGGAATGCCTCAGTAATCTCCCGTTCAGGCAGATAACAAACAAAAAAACAACAAATAAAAACCAACAAACTAATCTAAGCGAATCACCTCTGTGCTAGAACCAAACATTCTTTCCTGGTGAGATAAACTGAAGCTGCTCTAACACATTTGTCTGGACTGAGTTTCCAGATATGGAATGCCTCAGTAATCTCTAATTCAGGCTGCGTCTTAGCCTTACTCGAAAAACGCCCCCTTATCGAAGAGGGGCGTACAACCACACGACTTGGAGTGCAACGGCAAGTTACCAACAGTGCCCGAGGATAGTAGATTTTCATGCGCCCTCAGCCTAACATTCTAGGTAAGGCTAGTAGATGCAGCGTGAACGGGAGATTATTGAGGTATTCCATATTTGGAAACTTAGTCCAGACAAATGTGTTAGGGTAGCTTCAGCTTATCTCACCAGGAAAGAATGTTTGTGTGTAGCGCATAGATTAGACTATAGCGTGCTTGTTTTTTTGTTTTTGGTTTGCTATCTGCGCATGAGCTACTAAGCAATACAAGTTCGTTCGTTGTACCCTACGAATGCCTCTTTATACCTCGACAAAAGTACTGCTAGCTTCTCGAATAGTGCGTTCTCATCCGACATAACCAGACGTTCTGCTTAAGGCTCATTTTTCCAGCTCTGCACGAATTGTGGCACCTGAGATAAATTTAAAGACAAATTCAAGCTTGCACCAACTTCTTACCCGCTAATGCCATTTATCAAGGCATTGTAGATGCCTCGTCGCGCGGTGAAACTAGACGGTCTGAAGGCCACGAAGTTGCGGATCTTAGAGGAAGGCACTCCCTCTGCCGTTAAAGTGGCGGTCAGAATCTGCAAAAGACAAGGTAACGACAATGTTGGCAAGTTGGCAGCTGCAACGAATAATAAAATTAGGGAGCCCGGGGTCTACCGGCGAAGTTGGGCCAAGAGAAGCTTGGCGTGTGCGAGTCTGACCTATATATAGTTTATTCCTTCGCCTTCCTTGGCTCGTTGTTAGATCGTTAGTTAGTTCGATCCAGCACACTCGTGTTAAAGTGCCCGAAGCTTGTGTGATACCCGGAGCCAACCGGGTTTTGCACGGCTCAAGGTATGCGCACCTTAATAGAATACTAAGGTGAAACAGTAAATCAGTTTTAACAGATACAGTACTCAGAACTTCGTTGCCTTTGATTCTCCCTCCGTCATATATTAATAAATGAGGAATCTAAGCTTCCAAATTCATGCGTGAAATTTGATCAGAAACTTCAGTCCATAAACAGTCAAGAATTCCAAATTATTTGCACATTTTTAGGCCACGTTGGCTCGATTAGATTTTGTGAAAGATAATACTTACGTTAAGAAGCAGTGTACAATAGAAAATAATGAGGACAATTTTCGGCGACAAAGAATTATGTAGGACCTAGTTGACACTGTCTAAATAACGACATCATTTTGAGCTGCATGGTGCGAGAACCTTAAGGTGGCGTCGCCGCGTTGATTGTCGTTAAGCACATTTTCTCGTTGACCAAGCGCCTCTTCGAGGTAAAAGCCTTCCACCAGTGTGAAATTCTAACTTACTGCTTGGAGAAAAATAGATTTAAGTTGTCACTTTGAGGCTGTAGACAGAAGTGTGGCTTGATTTAGGACGCTTTGCTAAAGGGGTAAAATGCGACAATCTTTCAGGTAATTCTCGACTGGCATCATAGAAATCGCTTATTGCGTCACAAATCTAGTCCCACAAAAATTTTTTGAGTCCACCAACTACAGTTGGAGTCCACCGTGCGCTTCAAATGCTTTCTTTCTCATTTCGAAGCAGCGAGTGGGAGGAAAACAGCAAGTGCAAAAAGATGCGTCCGTTCATCAGCGCGTGACATGACCTTGAACTTTTTTTCGTCCTTCTTTCCCTTCAAATGTAATCCTTGCTTTCAGGGCTATCGTGAGTACGCGCGCGGGCAGGTGGCGGCATCCTACGGAGGCCACGGTAGCTGTGCAGACCATGATGCTCAAATGATTCAATGACCTTGTACTGTGTTTATGACGCAGTCGTTTGGGCTTATGGCTTCATTTGTACAAGGGGATTGGGAACGATTTCCATCGATTGTTTTTAGAATTGTGTACAGGCCGTGTGCAGCGCCACGATGCTTAGCTCGCATGCACGCAAGTCCGCCCTCCGGACTTACACGGGTGGATAAAAAGACCATTTCCCGCGGGTTCAAATCCCGGCTGCGGCGGCTGCATTTCCGATGGAGGCGGAAATGTTGTAGGCCCGTGTGCTCAGATTCGGGTGCACGCTGAAGAACCCCAGGTGGTCGAAATTTCCGGAGCCCTCCACTACGGCGTCTCTCATAATCATATGATGGTTTTGGGACGTTAAACCCCACAAATCAATCATCAATCAATCAATTAAAAAGACCATTCCACCGATCCTTGTTAAACTTTGTGCACGAGTTCAACTCGGTTATGCTTATTGAACCTCTTCTGTTATTAGGTTCGCTTGTTTTCAGAAATAGCGGTCTTTCGAAAGTAAAAAAAAAGCCTCTATTACCAATCAGGAACGTTTGCTGAACATGCTCAAGAGGTGTTACAGGGTCTCATGGGGGAAAGAAACAACTTAGGAGAGGCACTGACGTCACTCGTTGTGAAACCGTGGTGATGCCGGAAGTCGGTCATATTGACTGGGCTGATTCTCCTCTATTGTTTTCATCCGAATGTAAAGCAGAAGGCGCGACTCCCTCTCCGACTCGGAAAGCACGTGGGCTGCGCAGCGCACGTGTCGTGTCGATCCGAAACTAATGGAACGGGGCTCAACACTCTGGGACAGCACGACACCTTCGGCGAAATCATTTCGTCCGAGTATTAACAGCGAGTAACAGCTCGCCGATAACGAAGCAAGTACAAGAGTCGTTGCTCGATTCTACCTCCATCATAGATTAATAAATGAAGAATATAAGCTTCCAAGTTCATGCCTGAAATTCGATCAGAAACTTCAGTCCATCAACAGTCAAGAAATCCAAATTATTTGCACATTTTTAGGCCACGTTGGCTCGATTAGATTTTGTGAAAGATAATACTTACGCTAAGAAGCAGTGTACAATATAAAAAAATGAGGACAATTTTCGGCGACAAAGAATTATGTAGGACCTAGTTGACACTGTCTAAATCAACGACATCATTATGAGCTGCATGGTGCGAGGACCTTAAGGTGGCGTCGCCGCGTTGATTGTCGTTAAGCACATTTTCTCGTTGACCAAGCGCCTCTTCGAGGTAAAAGCCTTCCACCAGTGTGAAATTTTAACTAACTGCTTGGAGAAAAGTAGATTTCAGTTGTCACTTTGAGGCTATAGACAAAAGTGTGGCTCGATTTATGACGCTTTGCTAAAGGGGTAAAATGCGACAATCTTTCAGGTAATTCTGGAGTGGCATCATGGAAATCCCTTATTGCGTTACAAATCTAGTCCAGCAAAATTTTTTTGAGTCTACCAAATACAGTTACAGTTTGCCGCGTGCGTCAAGTGCTTTCTTTCTCATTTCGAAGCAGCGAGTGGGAGGAGAACAGCAAGTGCGAAAAGGTGCGTCCGTTCATCAGCGCGCGACATGACCTTGAGCTATTTACGTCCTTCTTTCCCCTTCAAATGCAATCCTTACTTTCAGGGCTATCGTGAGTACGCGCGCGGGCAGGTGGCGGCATCCTACGGAGGCCACGGTAGCTGTGCAGACCACGATGCTCAAATGATTCAATGACCTTGTACTGTGTTTATGACGCAGTCGTTTGGGCTTATGGCTTCATTTGTACAAGGGGATTTGGAACGATTTCCATCGATTGTTTTTAGAATTGTGTACAGGCCATGTGCAGCGCCACGATGCTTAGCTCGCATGCACGCAAGTCCGCCCTCCGGACTTACACGGGTGGATAAAAAGACCATTTCCCGCGGGTTCAAATCCCGGCTGCGGCGGCTGCATTTCCGATGGAGGCGGAAATGTTGTAGGCCCGTGTGCTCAGATTCGGGTGCACGTTGAAGAACCCCAGGTGGTCGAAATTTCCGGAGCCCTCCACTACGGCGTCTCTCATAATCATATGATGGTTTTGGGACGTTAAACCCCACAAATCAATCATCAATCAATCAATTAAAAAGACCATTCCACCGATCCTTGTTAAACTTTGTGCACGAGTTCAACTCGGTTATGCTTAATGAACCTCTTTTGTTACTAGGTTCACTTGTTTTCAGAAATAGCGGTCTTTCGAAAGTAAAAAAAAAGCCTCTATTACCAATCAGGAACGTTTGCTGAACATGCTCAAGAGGTGTTACAGGGTCTCATGGGGGAAAGAAACAACTTAGGAGAGGCACTGACGTCACTCGTTGTGAAACCGTGGTGATGCCGGAAGTCGGTCATATTGACTGGGCTGATTCTCCTCTATTGTTTTCATCCGAATGTAAAGCAGAACGCGCGACTCCCTCTCCGACTCGGAAAGCACGTGGGCTGCGCAGCGCACGTGTCGTGTCGATCCGAAACTAATGGAACGGGGCTCAACACTCTGGGACAGCACGACACCTTCGGCGAAATCATTTCGTCCGAGTATTAACAGCGAGTAACAGCTCGCCGATAACGAAGCAAGTACAAGAGAATGCGCGCTAGATGCACCGACAACGGTGACTGTTTTCAGGTCAATAATTTAGCGACTGTACAGACAACAGGATTGGTCGTGCGTCTTCTACGGTTGCATTTCGCCACGCGGTCGACGCAGCGCCCGGCCCCTGTGCCGTGTTCCGCGTGGCTATTTCTGTAGACATCCACCCTGGTACCCCTGAAACTTGGGTTTATCGTCACCGCCAAGTTCTCCGCTTCGCCTAGACAACACTTTCGTCCAGGTGGGTCCAGTTTTGACAACTTGAGGGACATCCTTCACTCCCGGCTACACCGCCGCCTCGCTAAGGGATCTCAGCCCGGCGATGGCAGCCGCCAACGTGGTTACTGGGCTATGATCCTACCTCAAGCCAAGTACTGTCCATGTAGATTTCATCCTCCGTAAACACTATGCCATCAGAAGACGAATACCTCGACGACATGGTGAGACTGGGGCAACGCAAGCAAGCCAAATCAAAGTCTGTGTCTCAACAACAACGAGACGCCACAGCTGGCCGCCATTCCCCAGCCTTGCAAGGAACGCCGGCGCGCCATCCTTCCGATGGTGTGCCTACCTCTGCTCCGTCCTCGCAGCCAGCGAAGCAACGCAAGTGGCGTCCGCGTCAGACTCCTCGCCTCTCTCGCGACGACTACACCGTAGTAGTGAAACGTCGCGTTCCCTGCGAGCTACGCACATTTGTCCCGGCCGATCGCGCGGCCGACGCCATCCGCAGCTACCTCGGCGACCGGACTACCACGCAAATTCAAGTGTGGCCAATCTGGGAACAGAACATCTTGGTCTGTAGCACCACCATTTTGCCTATGGCACAGCGACTCCTCAGAACCTTCCAGCTGCAAGTGGGGGATCAGCAGCTGCCCGTTCGAGGCCACGCCAAGGCACCAGGGGATACATGCAAGGGCGTCATCAACGTAAACCCTGCTGAAAGCCCGGAGAAAATAAAGTCTGAACTGTATTGGCCTCGAGGTACTATCCTTGCGGTTCGCAAACTCGGAGATTCCGCGGCGGCGGTGGTGACTTTCGAGGTCACAAAGTTACCCCGCTTCCTCTTCTACCACTGCGTGGCGACGTATATCCGCGCCTACAAGAAAACGGTCCCTGTTTGCACCAAGTGCGGTACCATCGGCCATCGACCACCTCAGTGTCCTCACCCCGCTCCAACGCATTGTGCCAAATGTGGAACCCCCGCACCTGCAAGGTCTCAATGCCAACGA